CAGATCAAGGACTTTTGTTGACTTTCTTTCGGCCGTCTTCGGAATGGCCGTTCGAGGCAACTTACCCTCAAGACATGCCTCGCACGTGAGGCGGATTCCACAGTCCTTGATGTTATAACTCTCCAGTCTGTACAGTGTTTAAGCAGAGGCACAATAATGTGGCAGATTGACTTACCCCCTGGCAATGAGATATATACAGGTGAGGAAATGATCGTAAAATGGTATTCGTGTAGTACAAAATATGTTATAGTGTTTGTGAAGTATACCTTCCGTGACGTCAAACTCCACTTTTTTTCATGTCAATTTTTAAGGAGTTCATCACCGATTGTTTACCTCTTTTTTGCCACTAAAACCAACAAATACACTGAAACAAATCGACATGTACCGTTTATTGGATCCATCTTATAACATAGCAATGTCAGGAGATTTATTCATTCTATGTGATGATTGATAGATTCCAATGGATTATCACTTAAAAACTATGACTGCGATATGGAATGATTTCTATCGTAATTTCACATACTTAGTACTTGATAATACGTGATAATACTTTGCTTCGAACGTGGTTAGCGGTAGGTAAGATGCACGGATAGAAATCTCCTTATACCTTTTGGCAAATTTCTATTGCTGATTATTCATAAAATGTATAAGTCAACTAATAAGCAGACGCCTTGCAAAAAGTTAATGATAATCATGTATCAAATGAAATGTATAAGTGGTCACACATACATTATTATTTCTTATAGGACCTATGTGGTTTGTCTTATGGAATGTATAAGGGTGATGTTTTGGCAAAAATGTATAAGTGAAACACATGAATAAAATAATTGATTTTCGTTTCGTGTGTATATGAATATTGTCTGATATATTTCATGGTGAAAAACTGTTGATATGTCATGGGTGGGAACAAGCATCTAGAAACTAATGGAAAATCATATAAGTTTGCACTATGAGCAAATCGAGTAAAATGTACCTGTTTTCATGATGAATATTTCTCACTAAAAGATATATCATATAAGATAATCATGTATATTTTATTGGAGTTGCTTTTAACGATTTTTGACGTTTGTTGATATGTCGCGTGTAAACAGACATGTAGAAACTATTGGACTGTCATTTAACTTTGCAGTATAGGAAAACATGTATATCTCATTGGAATAGCTTCCTTTGATTTTTGAGGTTTGAATATTGTAAAAAGATCTATCCCAATCATTAAATAGTCATATAGATTTGCCTTTTAAGAAATCCAACAGCAAACATCTGTTTTGGTATGTTTTTCTGTGATGAACATCGCTCCCAATAAAATACATCTTACATAATTGTTATTTATAAATTATTGAAACAATTTTCAACTATGTTATCGTACACTCATTAGAATGATTAGTCGAACTAAATATTGCTAACAACAATGATACTGTAATAAATAATCATTGTTTGTTATTGTTTCATAAGATAAGGGGTTCCGGAAAAGAATGTTTTGAGATTGAAAAAAAAATGATTCTACTGCAATATTTATTTGCTAAGATTCTAATTGTAATCCTTCTACACGGCTAATTCAGATTCCAGCACTAGTACTCGAACTTCATGAACCAGTTCCATGAACTCATATAATGTAGTCGTTGTTTTATTGCACACAGGAGCATTAATAATGATTTGAATACACGACACCACTGAAACGGAGCATATATTGGTCAGTGCTATTTTTCTTCACTCTAGCAAAACGAGCATAACGTTGCTCTATATTCCATGTTGGGAGAGCTGTTATTACTTCATGCTAATTGAACGAGCTCAATATTGAAGTCAGCCGTGGCCCAATGGAATCGAGCGCAGACACGAAAAGCATCACAGCTCAACAGTTCTGGATCGAATCCCAAATCAGCTACAATAAAAAAAACACAACTGTGAAAGCTCCCACTGCCTGGTGTTTATTTTTCGATTTATTTTTAGAAATCGATTAAATATATGTGTCAAAAGAATAAGTAAATTTCATGTGATTTTCACATAAACTTTACTTCGATTGATCTATGACACATATATTATATTGTGGTGAAAAGTAAAGCTTATGCTTATGGGTTTCAAATCCATTTCAGTTAATTATTATAATTTGACCGATTTTCATTTATCATATGGCGATCATATAAAAGTTTTCAAATTATCAGCATTGTCAATGTATCAGATATTCATATAGAATTTACCTGACACATTTTCAATCATATCATTTTCAATGGATTATCTTATAGCGCAAAATTATTAGACTTCCACATAACAGGAATATGTCAAATTGGTTCAGTGTACCCTCTTGTGCCACACCTGTATATACCTCATTGACCTCCTGGGTAGTACTAATCTGAATATACTCATAGACTGAGTAAAATTTTCGTCAATTTCCTTGTTTCCCAGCAGATTCTTGAGGTTTTTTTGAGTTCCTGAACTTTTTGCGATAGATAAGTAAACTGAACTCAAATTTGGGTCCATCTCTTCTGAATCCCATAATAAAACAGTTGAAATCGCGAGCTCGATCTCGGCGGAATAATTTAGGGCAGCTTTATTTTATGTTAAATCCGTGTTTCGTCGCACCGCCGAAATATTTCTGTGAAACATTTCCAACATTTCAAACTCTTCGATCCACAATTTTCAGTCACAGGGGCGGAAAGCAGCGTTGCCAGATATACCGATTTATCGGTACTTACACCGATTTCCAAACTAGATACCGATATACAGATAAGGTTCCTCAGAATACCGATTTTTAAGATTTTATACCGATTTATACCGTTTTTTTTAATAATCAAAATTATTATTGCCTGTCCGTGCTCGAATATCCGAGAATTTTTTTTGTGAGAGACTTGCATCTTTTTGAATACCTCATATTTTTTGAGCCTTAAAAATTATAAACAATCATCTCTAAAGATGTCTTATGCTTGATACTCTTTCGACTAATGTTTGCATTTCCTCACCGTTTTTGTCTACCATCAATCGAGAAATAGTCGATGGCTATTTCTGGTAATTCCTAGGGAATCGAGAAATATTTTTTAAACATAAACTTCCTGAAGTTTCATCCAAATTTCCCTGGAATTTTCTTCCACCTTACCTTGGAACCTTCTTCAGCCTTTGCCTCTTCTCCCGCCACTTTTTTCAACTTTCCCGGAACTTCAAGGATGCTATCAGATTTTTATTGCAGATCCACACTAGCTGCAGGCACATTTAACGAGTTCTGAAACTTCAGAAAAGTCCAGACTTTTGTGTAAGTTTCGATAAATTAAAGACAGTTTCATTTACTTCTGTTAAAATTCGAAAACCCGGGAATTTCATAAAAGTCCAGCAGACTCCAGTGAACTTAAGGAAACATCATAAATATTTTGGAAACTTCACAAGTCCAAAGAACTTCAGGGAAATTTAATGGTTTTCATGAACTTTAGTTAAGCTCAGAGAACATCAGGACAGATCAGTTAATTAATGAAATTGATGAAATTATAAAGGAGTTCCGAGAAACTCAGGCAATTTCCGAAAACTTCAGCAATGTCCTGAGGGGCTCATGCAAATTTAGGAAACGTAAGGGAAGTTACATGAACATTAGAACATTTTATGGGAAATTCTATGCTTTTTAATGGCAGTGTCGATAACTTTTAAAAATTAAAACAATCGGAAAGATCAGAGAACTTCGATGCTGATGTTATAATAAATTCAAGAAAATTGTGAGAGCACTTAGGAGATTTCGTAATCTTCAAGAAAATCCGGAGAAGATTATAGATATTTCGGTAGTCTTATTATAATCAGGGAAGTTCCGAGCACTTCGAGGATGACCAGAGAACTTCTAAGCAGTCCCCAATTTCAGGAAAATTACAAGGAATTTCGAGGAATTATGGAATATTCCCTAGTGCATTTCAGGAATATTCCAAAAACTTCAGGGATGTTGAGTGTTCAGGGATGAATATCAGGAAAATCTCTTTCTTCCGGAATTATGTCCTTGTTTCTTTCGACTGTTCCATAAGCGCTCTGGCTTTCGACTTTCTTCAGATGTTTCTTCCAATCTACCTTAGGAAGTTTCTGCCAGCGTCTCCAGGAAGTTTCTTTCGTCTTCTCCAGGAAGTTCAATTATTTCTCCCAGAAATTTCTTTTTCTTTTTGTTCCACTTCTATTGGAAGGTTTTTCCGAGCTTCTTCTAGCTTTCCCTGGAAATGACTACTTTTTAAAATTCACTTCCAGATTCCGAAACTTTTCTGGCTTACTTTAGATGTGACATCCGATTTTTTTTCGATAGTTTATTTAAATTTTCGCCACAAGTTTCTCAATTCGTGTCTTGGAAGTTTCCCGGATGTTTTTACAACTTTTCTTAGAACTTTCCTCGAACTTCATCCAGGAGAGCTTCTTTAGTCTTTCTCTGGATGTTTTTTCGGCTTCGTTCAGAAACTAATTCAAACATTCCCCGGAGTTTTCTTCCGGAATTTTTCCGATCATTGTACAAAAGCTAAAATTTTGCTTTGATTAACGGCTTTCTCAGCCTTAAAACATTGCAACGACTACGGTGTAATCTGCTCGACATTTCGGCCATGGGTTGTGGCCTTTTTCAAGTGAAAATACTGTTTGTCGTTATTGTCAATAGTTTAGTCGCTGTTGTGGCTGATTTTCCATATTTGGTTTCATTTAATGATATTTAATTAAAAAATTACTTTCTCACAATTTTGATCACCACTTGAGGACAACGATAATTTTAAAAATTAAATTAAAACAAATTAAATACTGTTTTAAGACTGAGAAAGCCGTTAAAAAAGCAAATCCCCTCAAGTCCCAGTCATCTCCATCGTTAAAATTTTCGCTTTCAAAAACGGCAAAAATATAACATTAATTGAATAGTAAATACCGATAAATACCGATTTTTTAATACCTTTGCTACCGATAAGCTATAAAACAATCTGGCAACGCTGGCGGAAAGCGCGCGCTCCTCGAAATCGAGACGAAAAGTAATCAAAACAAAAAATTAAAGTATCTGTTTTTTTTTGATAGTTTGCTGTTGTCTGATGACGGCAAGTAACTGTTGTTTGCGAGTCAGCTCAGGGTCAGTTGTGAGTAACGAGAATCTCTGGGCGGTAATGTTAAAAGTTTATTTCGATGTCGGCGTTTCGAAACAGCAACGAAACCGGTCAGAGTCGACCGCGGATGAGTGGTTTGTTCAAGATCCCGAAAGTGCCAGCCAACGCCGGTAGTGGCGGTGAAGGGGGACCGGCAGCGCCAGCAGCAGCCCGCCCTCGGGTCGGCATTTCTGGGCATGCTTTTTCCGGCCGAAGAGATGCCTTCGGTTCGACCCAGCGGTTCTACGCTCCGCAGTCGAAGCCGGTTGAACAATCAAAGAAGGTCGGCGGAGTTGTTGGCAATTCCACCCGAAACCTGATGGACATGGACGACACCCTGCTGAATGCGGTCGATTTGGATGGAATCGAGCAGCGTATGAGTGGTGCGGAAAGGGAGGAGGCAATTAATAGGAATAAGACCGTAATGAAAGGTTAGTGAGTTTGATAAGCTGCAGGGAGGGGAATCGATTATCTTAGGAAGTGCCGTGTTTCAGAAAAACGTCATAACATGTTGCCGCCGATTATGGAAGCTCCCAAGCGGAAGAAATCACGTCTTTCGAATATAACAGTGCTGCAAATGGACACAGTTCAGGAAGAGGGCCCCAGTAGTTCCAAGTCCAAACCGACCAGCGTAGGAAGGGACATATCCCGATTGGACCAAACCCGGACGATGTCCTCAATCTCTGCTCATGTTTCGAGTATACCGTGGTCAAGTTCGGTCGTAGTTCACGATCGGCGGCCGGTAATTTCTCCCGCCAGTACGACAATTCCTCCCGCTGGTACGAAAATTCCAAAAGAGGTGACGGTGGATCTGTTCGATTGGGAATCGCAAGCCTTCAGAGAAGAAGTCGAAAAGATCATCAAAGATAAGCTGCAAGTGACAGAGGAAGAAGATGAACCGATTCCCTGCTATCAGCAGTCAGATGTTGAACGGAAGAGAGTTGACTCAGATGGCAGTCTGGAGCCAGACGATGGAGAATTGATGAGTAGCAGTCAACTGTTCTTGGAAGAAGTCGACCGGATGAGAAACCGACCGCTGACCCAACGGAAAATGACAAATAGTCACACATGCTCGCAGTACATCCGGTTGGAGCGAACGATGGTGGAGGAAAACCAGATCAACTTGGCTGACGATCAGGTCGACAGCCAGTTGGCAAGGGAGTTTGACTGCAGCCAGCACTGGAGGGAAATGAACGATAATTACCAGATGTGCGAGCGGACACTGGTGGATGTTAGCAACATTGATCTACAGGGTGGTCGGGTAGAGGATCACGCAGTAATCGAAGCGCAGGTTGCCGCCGCGATCGATTGGGAAGAAGATGTGAGCATTGCCGATACGACGAGGAAGCCGCCCAAAGCAAGGCTGGATGATATTTTCGGGAAGTCCAGATTCACGGCGGATTCGCCGAAACGGGTAGCACAGAAGCCGGCTCCGCTGGTGTCGTCGCACTTCCAGGATAAGGGACCGTTCTTTGGGCTGCCGAGCAGGGTTCGGAGTCTGCTGGAGGAGTACCGAGGGATTAAAGAGATGTACGGTAAGTCAAGACTAGAATTTCGAGTTTATTCTTTCCCTCGTCTAACTCCCTTCCTTTCAGACTGGCAAAAGGAATGCCTCGGGTTGCCGGCAATCGTTGAGCGGAGAAACCTGATCTACGCGCTTCCAACCAGCGGTGGCAAAACACTAGTCGCCGAGATCCTTATGTTCCGGGAAATCCTGCTCCGGCGGAGGAACGTGATGTTCGTCGTACCATACGTATCGCTGGCCCAGGAAAAAATGACCGGCTTGTCCCCGTTTGCGGTGGCCATGGAGTTCCTGATAGAGGAGTACAGTGGCGGCAAGGGTGTCATTCCGCCCCGCAAACGACGCAAGAAGCAATCGATATTTGTCTGTACGATCGAGAAGGCATTGGTCCTGCTAGACAGTTTGATCGAGGCGGATCGGGCCAACGAGATCGGGCTGGTGGTGGTCGATGAGCTGCACATGATAGGTGAACCGAAGCGAGGGGTTAGCTTGGAGGTTTTACTGACCAAGATCCTTGCGATCAAGGCCGGTATTCAGATCGTGGGAATGAGTGCCACGATAGGAAATCTGAACGAGATTGCCAAGTTTATGACGGCGGATATCTACTGCCGGGACTTCCGACCGGTAGAGCTGAAGGAGTACGTGAAATGTGGTGTTGATTTGCTGCAAATCAACCACAAGGCGAAAACGTTGGAGGATGCATTCGTGAACAAACAGACGATCGATTTCGGTTATGCGGACGCGATGAGGCGTGTCGATCCGGATCATTTGATAGGCCTAGTACTGGATGTCATTCCGGCCGATTCGTGTTTGATTTTTTGTCCCACGAAGCGCCACTGTGAGCAGCTGTGTACGCTGCTGATACAGCATCTACCACAGGAATTGGCACAGTTCAAGGCTGACGAAAAGAAAGCGTTGATAGGCCTTCTGAAGAACGATGAATCGACGGCCAATCTACTGCCGGGTGCCTTTCGACTAGGAATCGCCTATCACCACTCCGGATTGACCTACGACGAACGGAAACTGATCGAGGACGCCTATCGAACGGGGGTCATCTCCCTCATCATCTGCACATCCACCCTGGCAGCCGGGGTAAATCTTCCGGCCAAGCGGGTCATAATCAGAACTCCCTTCATAGCCACCAACTTCCTGACGCTGAGTCGCTATAAACAGATGGTGGGTCGAGCCGGTCGTGCGGGGTACGGTGAATGCGGTGAAAGTATCATGATCTGCGCCCAGAAGGACATCACCGCCGTGTGCAATCTTCTCTGTTCGCCGATGGACGAGGCGAATTCTTCGCTTCACTCCGAGGATTACTTATACTTGAAGAACTTGATTCTCAGTGCGATTGGGCTCGGGATCTGCTCCACTCGGAACGACATTCAGAATTTCGTCGCCCTGACGCTGCTGGCCATTCAGGCGGAGAAGCTCGGGGTGAACTGGCGGGAGGCGACGGACATAGCGATCACTACTTTGTACAAGGAAAACGCGATCAAGGCCAAAAGTGACGGCTGTCTGAAGAATCCGGTCAATATGACGATCCGGTTCGATGAGAGTCAGTACGGTGAACCGACGACGATTCATGGTCTGAAGGTTTCCCGAGGGGCTGAAGGATCCTCTCAGGAGGGCAAACTGATTAAGACGTTGAACAAAAGCTCCCGGTTGGAGGTCAATCGATTAGGGAAGGCTACGATCCGAGCTGGGTTTACTATGGATAAAGCAATCCGATTCTACGACGAAATGATTCGGGTTGGCGAGCGATTAAACGTACAGAACGAACTTCATCTGTTGTATATAATCGTGCTGGAAGATGGAGGCGAGATTCGACCGAAGGATTATGTGAGCTTTGTAAGGATCCCTACTGAAACTCGGACAGCGATCAACTTTCCTAATGTTGCATTTATTTTTCTTTTAAAGTTCACCCAACTGACCCCGGAGGAGATGATCATAGCCAAGCGGTTCCATATAGGAGAATACACCATCGCCAAAATTCTTGGTAAAAAGTTTATTCCTGTATGATCGAAGGGTAATCGTTGCTTGCTTTGCCCCCTCATTTTCTTTACCTTTTTTCTTCCAGCTCGACCTCCTTCCGACGATCCGTCGCTTCTACCGCGTGCTGATCCTGCACGACCTGTGGAATTTGAAATCCCCCCAGCAGGTGGCGCTCAAATACAACGTGGACGCCGGATCGGTTCAAACTCTGATGAGCAATGCCGCCTCGACGGCATCCGGGCTGCATCGGCTGTGCGAAGAACTTCCCGAGCTGTGGGCGTTCAAGCTGCTGCTGTTGACGATGGTGCAACGCCTTTCGCACTGCTGCACGACGGAGTTGCTCCCTCTGATGGAACTGCCAGCAGTGAAAGTGGTAAGAGCCGTCGCTTTCCAGCATTTGAACGGACGAACATAATGATTAAAGAGCTATCATTCTCTAACTTTGACAGGGGCGTGCCAAACAGCTCTATCGAGCCGGATTCACTTCCTTGGCCTTGATAGCTAAGGCGAAGTCAAGAGATTTGGTGGAATCGGTCGAGCACATGAGCTACCGGACGGCGAATCAGCTTATTCTGAGCGCGAAGGTAAGTGGCAGAAGTTTACATGTCTCGGTCTTCTAACAGAAATTTTGAGGTTTACTAAGAGGTCTCACAGCGAAATGTTATCAAGATCTCTAGTTGAAGTCATTTTACCGCAGAGAAGTATGAACAGTTTCAGGAATGAGATGAAATAATCGTTATGGATGACTTCAATCTAGCTGGTGTTTCGTGGAAACCATGTCACAGAGAAGCAGCTCCTCTTTACCTTTTCCGATTCCCATGAAGGTATCGAAGGAACAGAAGAAAATGGAACAACATACGCCATCCAGTTAGTGTCATAAAGCATAGTGATAGCTGGATAGCGTGTGCCGAGTTTTGAGTATATACAACGCAGTATGCCTTGTTTTTAGAGCATAACTTCATTTTTCTTCTGTTCAAATTATACTACTGACAAATAAAGACGTTCCTTTCAATTGTAGTTCGAATAGTATTTCGAGTCCAGTCCGATTGTTCCCACTTCTGCCGATAAGTTATGGGCCCAGGCAGTGCAATCGGAACTGGTGAAGATAGAATTTGAATTCGTAACGAGATGGCGGACAAGCTGATGTCTTTTTCAAGGCTCAATGGATCCAATTACGATAACTGGAGTTTTCGGATGAAGCTGTTGTTGACCAAGGAAGGAAATTGGACGGCCATAGCGGACGCAAGGCCAGAAGCGGTTACAAGTGCGTGGAACACCAAGGATGATCAAGCGCTGGCATCGATTGGATTGGCCGTGGAGGATCCAATTAATCCACATAAAGAAGGCCAAATCGGCGGCGGAGACGTGGAATGCTCTAGAAAAATTCCATGTCAAGAAAACGTTAACGACAAAGGTCTCTGTGATGCGGAAAATTTGTAGTCAACGCCTGGAAAAACATGGAGATATGGAAGCGCACGTATCGAAGTTGTCGGAATTGTTCGAGAAGCTCAACAATTTACAGCCGGAAAAGATCCTTGATGACCAATGGTTGGTCGCAATTTTGTTCAGCAGTCTGCCGGAGGAGTACGAGACGTTGGTAAGCTCCCTTGAAGCTCGACCAGAGAATGATTTGACCCTGGATATGGTGAAGGGCAAGCTCATCGATGAATGGCAGAAAAAGAAGCAGCGCAACGATGATAGCGATAATCCTGAAGCTGTTCTCTATGCAAGTTCAAAGGCCGAAAAAGACCGGTGCTTCTTCTGCAAAAAGTTAGGTCACCAGAAGGCAAATTGCGAAAAGTTCAGAGTATGGAAGGCGGAGAAAGGAAACGGAGCTGTATCCAAGCACCGAAAGGCAGTATCCAAGCAACAGAAAGCCAACCACGTATCGCAGCAAGATGATGATGATAGCTTCGCGTTTCTCACTGGATGCAATAGTCAAGCGGAAGACCAATGGATTTTGGATTCCGGTGCAACCTGCCACATTGCAAATTACCGGAACTTCTTCGAGGATTTGGATGATGCAGCTATTGAGGGCGTTTGGGTCGCCAAAGGGACGAAGGTACGTTCGAAAGGCCGAGGTGCTGGGCGAATAAATGTGCTAGATGGTTCTGGTCGACTACGTGAAGTTCCAATAGAAAGCGCTTTGTATGTTCCTGAAATGAAGTCAAGTTTGCTATCCGTGAAGCGGCTGGTGGAGAAAGGATTCGTCGTCACATTCGACGCAACTGGAGCGAGAATCATGAAAGGTGAAAAGATATGTGCTATTGTGGAGTCCGTTGGTAACTTGTTCATAATTCGTCAATCAACCGAAAACGTATCCATGGTGATGACGTACGATACGTAGACGATTGGGACACAGAGACTGCGAAGCGGTGTTGAAATTGCAGACCTTGGTCAACGGCGTGAGGGTGAAGAGATGCAGCTGCACTGATGCATGTGAAGTGTGCATTGAAGGTAAGATGTACAGGACATCGTTTCCGAAGACGTCAGAAAGTGTGTCATCGGCGGTGATGGATTTGGTTCACACTTATATCTGTGGACCAATGAGGACGGCGACTCTGGGCGGAAGACGATATTTCATCACATTCATCGACGACTACAGTAAGTACACGGTCGTTTATTTGCTACGGAAGAAGTCTGAAGCGCTCCAGAAACTGAAGGAATATGTTGAGCTAGTCAAGACGCAGTTTGGAAGGAAGCTCAAAATTCTCCGCTCGGACAAGGGTGGTGAGTTTACTGGCAAGGCATTCAATGCATTCCTGAAGCAAAACGGTATCATCGGCCAGCTCACGGCACCATACACCCCACAGCAAAATGTGGTAGCAGAACGAATGAATCGTTACCTTGTCGAAATGGCCAGGTGCATGCTCATTGACGGACATCTGGACAAGCGTTTCTGGGGAGAAGCAGTGGTAACTACATACAGAACAGGCTGCCATCACGGTCGATCAGTGGCACACCATATGAGCGGTGGTTCGGGAAGAAGCCCAATCTCGGACACATACCGCCTGGTGGACGAGACGAATGGAAAGGTAACTGTTAGCCGTGTTGTTAAATTTCTTACTTGCGGGCCCATGCCAGGTTCGGTGGGAGAAAGTCTGGTTGTACCATCCATCTGTTTCGAACGAGTGGACCTAATGAGTGAGCCAGGATCAACTGAATCGGATGACGACGATGTCTGATGATGATCCAGATGAACAACCGGACGAAGCAACTCTCCGTGAAATTGAAGTGCAGTCCGATGCCGTACGTGTGGACGGGAGCATGTCCAGTGTAGATGTCGATCCACCTCGAAGATCAACAAGAGCTAATCTCGGAGCTATTCCAGAGCGGTATGCTTGTACAGCAGAAACTTCGGTTCAGGAGGAGCCAAAATCGTTGAAGCAAGCGTTATCCAGTCCAAACAGCGCCAAGTGGTGCACGGCTGTGAAGGAAGAGCTAGCATCCATCGAAGAAAACGACGTCTGGGATAAAGTCGACCTGCCGGCGGGTAGCCGCGCCATTGGATGCAAGTGGGTGTATAAACAGAAGCGAGACGAAAATGGCAATGTAGTTCGGTACAAAGCCAGGCTGGTAGCCCAGGGCTACACTCAACGTTTTGGGACGGACTACGATGAAGTTTTTGCGCCAGTCGTTCGACACGTTACGTTCCGTACCATGATGTCTGTGGCAGCCAAGAAGAAGATGATCGTCAAACAATTCGACGTAAAAACGGCGTTCCTCAACGGCAACCTTGAGGAGGAGATCTACATGAAGCAGCCTCCCGGGAATGTCGTCAGCGGTATGGAAAAAAAGTTTGTACGGGCTCAAGCAAGCGGCTCGTTTTAGGAACCAGCGACTGCATGAGGTGATGGAAGCGGATGGTTTTGAGCGATGTGACGCAGATCCCTGCCTGTACAGAAAGCGAGCTAGTAGCAAGTGGTGCTATGTTCTCGTGTATGTGGATGATCTAATCTTAGCGAGCGAGGATGAACGCATGATAGACGCATTGAAGCGAACGCTTGCAAGAAATTTCCACATCAGCTGCCTCGGTGATGTCAAGTTTTACCTCGGGATCGAAGTCGATCGAGACCATGCTGGAGATTTTCTTTTAACCACGCGTTAAATTTAACTCGCCCATTGCGACACAGCATTGGAAGTAAAATTAGGGCCATCCATAAATAACGTATATTTTTGACCAATTAACCCCCTTTCCCCCGGAGCGTGTTTTGCAATACACCTTACACATGGCCGGTCCCAACTTCTGAAACCCCTCTCCTCCCTCAACTACAACGTTATTTATGAAAGTTCCCTAATCATTGGGCAACACTGAAAGACAACAGCACACACCACACAAAATGGGTTGGACATTTATGCGAAATTTCGGTATTGATAGTCAATATTTCGCGATCAAAACATTTAGCTTGAAATCCCTCCATTTAATTATCGGTACATCTTTAATCTATTGATTGAATTAAATAAAATCTTAATATGGTTTTTTAAGATTTCATGCGTTTTGTGACCGCACATTCATTATTTTGCATAAGAAAACGGGAACGGGGTGTTTCTGTGGTGATAAGAAGGATTTTCCTACACAGATTGCAGTTTTCTGTTCCAAGCACTGAAATTATCAGACGGTACCTCTATTTATGCTTTTAGAGTAGCTATGAAAGTCCCTCCTATTATGCTATAGAACGGTTTATACTACCCCAGTTTTTTTTTTGCTGATGGAGGCGAGCCATAGCAAGCCGTTCGATTGCATAATGCTTCAAGTAGGAGGGACTTGCAATGCTTATCTCTTAGCATAAATAGAGGTACCGTCGAGTTTTTTTCAGTGCATCTGGTGAACATTCTTTGCTTGATTGTCAAGCAGTATAGTTCGGCTTTTGCTCGCTCTGACGAGTTGTTCGAAAAGTTCGTGGTTATAGTATTCGCGCTCTCTCTCTCTTTCGCGGTGTTTTTTGTGTGTGTGTGCCCCGATATGGGGAAGCATCGCTCGCGAAGCCCGGTGAAGGACAAAAACCCCGGTGAAGGAAGTTCGGGTGTACCTACATCCAACAGGTTTGCTGTTCTCCCCATGGATGGGAAAATCCAACCAGCTGTGACGGAAAAACGCAGCAAGAAGAGGAAGAAGAATCGGGGCCAGTCCGATGGCACAATTGGTCGCGAGGATGCCTCTGCGACAAACGAAGATTTCGGCGACGCTGCCGAAATAGAAAATGCTGCTGAAAGGTGCGCGGCAAGAGTGAAGCTACCTCCGCTGGTAGTGAAAAATGCCCATCTTAACGAGCTCATCGCGGATCTGGCGTCGCTGGGCGTCAAAGCCGAATTCAAGTTGGTTTCGCCGATGACATTGACATTATGGCTTGGAACTTTGAGATGATGGCGGAAACGTACATCAGACTGAAGGCTGAAGCTAGACGGATTGGACTTGCCATCAACGCATCAAAGACAAAATACATGAAAGCAAGAGGTTCTAGGGAAGACAATGTTAGCCTCCCACCCCGAGTTCAGATTGACGGTGACGAAATCGAGGTGGTTGATGAGTTCGTGTATTTGGGCTCACTGGTGACTACCGAAAATGATACCAGCAGAGAAATTC